TATTTACTTGTTTATTTATTTATTTATTTATTTATTTATTTATTTATGCGTATGAAAAGTCTGCGCAAGCAACATTCACCCGAGAAACGCTCTAAACCCGTGAAAACTCTCAATCAATACGTCCAAATTTTCAGTAACCTCACACAAAATTGGTTGGCTCAAAAATCCAGCGAGAGGGTGAAATTTGAACCAAAATGAACTGTCCATCTGAAGGGCGTCTGGAGCGCTTTTTTAGGCTGTTTACTCTTCGAGAGGTTTTGCAAGTTGTCGAGAGAAATGGTAATTAATCTATTAGGGTCACCTTTTGTTTTACGGTAGCATAAATGCTAGCGATAAGTGCTTTGATGTGAAATCTTCCCAAAAAAAACTGCCGTTTAGTTCTCAACAACGTCAGAGCTTTTTGCTCGGAGGGAAGGATTACGCCATCAACATGTTTCAATTGCATAATACAGTAAGGGAATTGTGTTGAAAAGTGAAGAGTTTCAGCAAATACCAAAAGTTTAGCATGATCTTTACGCGAAAGGTAAAGGAAGCATCTAAAAGGTTATCGGAACACAGTGAGATTAGGGGTGCAATAGCAATGAAAGTGAGTGAAAACAAATTACTGTAAATTTGAAAGGCTCGGGTCTTTACGGTGAAATACAGGGATGTGTGTGAAGCCCCTGGCACGTCCTGCGTTGGAGAAGTTTGTTTTGCAAAATAAGATCTCCCCTCAAGATACCTTCCTCCTGTGTACGAACTCCTTCCCCTCCCCATCTCATACCAGCACACGTTCCTTATCCTACTTACTATCTTCTTCAGTTTTCCATATTCCTACTCCACTACCCCTACTAATACTTCACAGAAGTTTTTTATTTTCAAAAACCCTCAATGTTTCCCCAAAAAAGCGCCGTCAAAGCCACGACAGGGAGGAATTGCGCGCTTGAAACAGGAAAACCTGAGAAGAGTCAATACAAACATTTTTTTCGAAGGCAAATACGACCCCTCCTCTCTAGCGACCATATGCGAGCCCTCTTGCTGGTATTTCCAACGTACGATAAACCCTAAAGCAGTCTGGCTCAAGATTCTTTGAGATCATCTTTTCGGCATGACCTTTGCATTTTCAGTGACTCAAGCCCAACCAGGAAAGGTACCGATTTGGCTTTCTGCGCGGGACAGTCATCAGCTCAACTTATTCTCAAATTGACCGGGTTTCAAATTAGTCAAAGCGTTCCCAGACATCCTAAGCACCTCCACAGGTCATAAAGG